ATTTTTCCTTTCTTCCTCTCATCTTTCCTATATCTTGCTATCAATAACTATTATTACCTATTGGATTGTCTAGTGTATCACAATGAAGCTTTCTCTGATATAACATACTTCTGTTCTGGAGTTGATCATTGTCTCCTTTCTTTCTTGGTTTTTGTGCCCAGTATTGGAACTTGAACTCAGGGCCTTACTTTTACCCTTGGCTTTTTCGCTCATGGCTGGGGCTATACCACTTGAGCCATACCTCCACTTCTAACTTTCTGCTGGAAAATTGGAGACAAGAAGAGTCTTTTGAATTTGTCTGCCCAGGCTGTCTTTGAACAATGACTCTCAGATCTAAGCCTCCCTGAGCCACTGGCACCTTGCTTCATAGAGAGTTTTTGTGTGCATGTGCGTGTGCACGCACGCACACGTGTGCGATGTGTGTGTGTGTGTGTGTGTGTGTGTGTGTGTGCTTGTCCTGGATCTTGAACTCAGAGCGTGGGCTCTGTCTCTGAACTCTTTTTTGCTAGCACTCTACCACTTGAGTTACAGCTCCACTTTGGCTTTTGGGATGATTAATTGGAAATAAGTCTCATAGAGTTTCCTTCCCAGGCTGGCTTTGAATCGTGATCCTCAGATCTCATCTTCCTGAGTAGCTAAGATTACAGACATGAGCCACCAGCACCCAGCTTCATTGAGGTTCTCTATGCTGTTTTCATGTGTACTTCCAATATTTCCATTTACTGTCTATTGATATTAAATCTTCCTGCAGTCTGCAGTAGTTCAATACGAGGCTTTCAATTGAATCTTATATATGGCCAGTCTTGTGAAACAATTTATCAGTTCCATCTTTTTTCCTTGGAGCCCCCCACCTTCCTGCACACCCATTCCACGATGCATGGGAGCTGCACTGTACCCCAGAGAGCACCTTCTCTCTTCTCTGCTCTACCCCGTTTTCTATATTCCCACAGCTTTTAAAATTCTTGGTTTATGGTGTTTCTTTTTTTAATGGGTTTGGGACTTGAACCCAGAACTTCACATATAGGAAGTACATAGTCTGCTATTGAACTTCCTCCCTACCTCATGGTCATTTTTTTTTGGTCAGTCGTGGGCCTTGAACTCTGGGCCTGCGTGCTGTCCCTCAGCTCTTCAGCTCAAGGCTAGCATTCTACCACTTGAGCCACAGCACTTCTGGTTTTCTGGTGGCTAACTGGAGATGAGAGTTTCACAGACTTTCCTGCCCAGGCTAGCTTCGAACCACCATTCTCAGATCTCAGCTACCTAAGTAGCTAGGATTCTAGGTGTTAGCCAAGCCACCAGCTCCTGGCTGGTTGTGCTTTTTGCTGGAGCATGTCCTCCAGTAACTTTAGAAAGTAAGTTTTTGAGACTCTGTCAGCCTGACATTGTCCTGTCCTTTTTTACCCCCATCCTTGGTTTCTTAGGTGAGGCTTCTGCACATTTCATCTTTGCTACTAAGGAATTTGGGGCCATTCCTGGTTCTTCACTCTGCTTTATTTCTCAGGAAGCTCTTAGGGTACTTTTTATCCCTGGGCTCTGAAGTGTCAGGTCTGTGATTCAGATATGCTTATCTGTCTCTGCATCTAGAGTTAAACAGATGACCTGGCAGGTCAAGTCATTGTCTTCCCTCCTCCCTGGCCACTGTAACTCATTCCAGGATGGGCAGGTGGCTACTCATCCCAAAGTCTGATTTTTTTTCCTTAGAGAGAAACCCTATAGATTCTGTCTAATCCATGTGGATGTGTGTGTGTGTGTGTGTGTGTGTGTGTGTGTATGTGTGTGTTTGTGTGTGTGTGTTGGGGATATATCAGTACCCGGTCTTGGTCTCAGGACCTCAGATTCTCCCTTGGCATTTTTTGCTCAGGGTTAGGCTCTACCACTTGAGCTACACCTCTACTTCCAGTTTTTTGTTTTTTTTTTTGTCATGGGGCTTGAACTCTGGGCTTGGGCGCTGTCCCTGTACCCTTCAGCTCAAAGCACTCTACCGCTTGAGCCACAGCGCCATTTCCTGTTTCCTTAGTGGTTTATTGGAGAGAAGAGTCTCACGGACTTTCCTGCCTGGGCTGGCTTTGAACCATGATCCTCAGATCTCAGCCTCCTGAGTAGCTAGGATTACAGACATGAGCCACCCGGTGCTGGCTACTTCCAGCTTTTTTGTGTGTATGCAGGTCCTGGGGCTTGACCTCTAGGCCTAGGCTCTGTCCCTGAGCTTTTGGCTCGAGGCAAGCACTCTACCACTTGAGCCATAGCTCCTCTTTCAGCTTTTTGTGGTTAATTGGAAGTAGAGTCTCACAGACTTAACTGCCCAGGCTGGCTTCAAACACTATCCTCAGATCTCAACTGCCTGAGTAGCTAGGATTACAGGCATAAGCCATCAGTGCCTGCCCACTTCCAGCTTTTTGCTAATTGTCACAGACTATTTTTTATTTATTCATTGTTTTGTCAGGTTGAGCTCAGGGGCCTGGGCGTTGTCCCGGAGCTCTTTTGCTCAAGGCCAGTGTTCTACCACTTGAAGCCACAACACCACTTCTGGTTTTCTGGTGGTTCATTGGATATAAGAGTCTCATAGCCAGCCAGGCGCTGGTGGCTCACGCCTGTAATCCTAGCTACTCGGGAGGCTGAGATCTGAGGATCGGTTCAAAGCCAGCCCAGGCAGGAAAGTCCATGAAACTTTTTTTTATTGTGAAAATACTGTACAGAGGGGTTATAATTACATGAACAAGATAATGAGTACATTTCTTATCAAGCATTGTAGCCTCCTCCTTTGTTTCCCCTTCCCATCCCTTCCCATCCTTCTCCCTCTCCCCCCCTGCCCAAAGTCCATGAAACTCTTATCTCCAATAAACCACCAGAAAACTGGAAGTGGCACTGTAGCTCAAGTGGTAGAGTGCTCTCCTTGAGCTGAAGAGCTGAGGGACAGCGCCCAGGCCCAGAGTTCAAGCCCCATGACCGACAAAAAAAAAAAGGGTCTCACAGCCTTTCCTGCCCAGGCTGGCTTTGAACAGCAATCCTCAGGTCTTGGCCTCCTGAGTAGCTAGGATTACAGGCATAAGCCATCAGCATCTGGCCTCTCACAGACTTTCCTACCTGGGCTGGCTTCTAAGCTTGATCCTTGGATCTCAGTCTCCTGAGTAGCTAGGATTACAGGTATGAGCTACTGGTGCTCAGCAATGTGGATATTTTTCAAGATAAATACTTTAAATAGTAAATACCTTGATGCCTATTTTAATAGTGAGGTCTGATATACCCAGGACAGGCCTGCAAATTATCAAAAAATTAATGCATGGATCTGGAGGCATATTTCATGTGATAGAGTCTAGACAGTGTAAGCAAGCAAACAGAGTGAACATGAGGCCCTGAATTTGACCCCAGTACTACCCCTCCAAAAAAAAATAATGCTTAAAGGTTCAGTTCTTGGACATGTTTCATAATCTAAGATAACAGCCAATCAGAATCATTTCTGTTTTTGTTTTTTGGGGTTTTTTTTGGGTCCTTTCGTGGGGCTTGAACTCTGGGCCTGGGCGCTGTCCCTCAGCTCTTCAGCTCAAGGCTAGCACTCTACCACTTGAGCCATAGCGCCACTTCTGGCTTTTTTCTTTTTGCTTATGTGGTGCTGAGGAATCAAACCCAGGGCTTCATGCATGCAAGGCAAGCGCTCTACCACTGAGCCACCTTCCCAGCCTCCAGAATCATTTCTAAAATGGCATTTAAAGACCCTTTGGGGCTGGGCGTGTAGCTCAGTGGTAGAGTACTTGCCTGGCATGGTGAGGCCCTGGCTTTGATCCTAGTGCCACAGAAAAGTAGTCAATAGAACGTCATTTAAATATGACCACCCTAAACTGATTTGGCATTCTTCTAAAATTTAGACCTTGAACTGGATGCTGATGGCTCACACCTGTAATCCTTGCCACCCACAAGACTGAGATCTGAGGATAGTAGTTCAAAGCAAGTCAGGGCAGGATAGTCTGTGCAACGTTTATCTCCAATTAATTACCAAAAAGCTTTGGAAGTGAAGCTGTGGCTCAATTGGTAGAGCACTAGCTTTGAGCAAAAAAGCCTAGGGACAGCACCAGGCCTTGCATTTGAACTCTAGGCCCAGCACAAAAAAAAAAAAAGGAGAGAGAGAGACAGAGAGAGGGAGGGGGAGAGAGACAGAGACAGAGAATGACACAGAGAGAGGAGAAAGACAGAGAAAGAGGAGGGAGAGAGAGACAGAGAGGGTGACAGAGAGAAAGACAGAAAGAGAGAGAGAGCGCGTGCAATGGCTGCATGGCCAGGTGCGGGTGGCTCACACCTGTAATACTAGTTACTCAGGAGGTTGATATTTGAAGATCAAGGTTTGAAGCCAGGCTGAGCAGGAACAGTCTCTGAGACTTATTTCCAATTAATCCAATTAGAATTCTAGCTTTGAATAAAAAGCACAGGGACAGCTCCCAAGCCCTGAGTTTGAGTCCCAGATCTCTCTCTCACACACACACATACTCTCTCTCTCTCTCTCTCACACACACACACACACACTTTGTGACAGATGGAGAAGTGACACATGGTGATGGTCAGTGGCTGGACAGATCTTTGCTCCTTCCTGGAGATACCATCATTTGGTTTCTAGCATAGCCTCCATCTCTTTCAGCCACTGATCATTCAGAACTAACTGTTGTGATTGTGACAAAGCCATAACCCATAATGAACTCTAAAAGAGGGAAATTCATTGGTTCAAGGAATGGCCAACCAACTGTGGACAGACCAGAGCTTCAGAGAACTTGGTTGGATGCTCTCTCAGTGCCACAGAGGGTCAGGTGTATTAGCTATTATCTCTCCTGCCCTGGGTTTCCAGGACAATAGAACAAACAACAGAAGACACACTTCATCTTAGAAGCACTTGGTTTTATTGCACAGAAGCAATTGAAAGTGGACTCCAGCGGGAGGCGGGCCCTGTGTGATTGGGTGGCCAGTGCCCAGCCCTGCCTGCCGCAGCTCTTCCACAGTAAAGAGCGCTGGGCTGGGCCCTGACCACTCGTTTGGAAAACAGAAGGCATTCGGGAATAGGTTAAGACATCTCAAGCATTATGCGTTTCTAACTGCTCATTCGTTATTGCGGTCATCTGTCAGTGGTACATACAGGAAATTAATGCACTTAATTGGAAAGGAGGGGGCAGTTTCTGAAGTCCAGTGTTTATGTGTGGCATTCAGCATACATCACATTCGGCTACGGAAGCTATCATAACATAATTGTCCATCGCCTTGGGAGGGTTGAAGAGTACACTCCAGTGTGTACTGGAGCTGAGTGTACTCTCTCTTGCTACCAATTACTAAAAGGAATTCTTATTTGGTGACGGAGGGCCCATGGCCAGTTTCCTCTTACAGAAAGAAAAAGGGAGGACAAAAGGAAAGGAAAATTCATTACACTGACCCTTGAGCTCCGGGACCCTCCTGAGTTTCTTTGGCTGCTCTGGATGTTTTCTTTCTCCCCGCTTTACTTCTCCCCCTTGGCGGCCTTGTCCTCTGCGGCCTTCTCTGGGGGCTTGCTGTCTTTTTGGTCTGTGCTGGAGGATTTTTCAGCCTTTTCTGTCTTGGGTTTGCTGGGCGCAGGGGCCTCCTTGCTGGGCTCTTTAGGGAGACTCTTGTCATCCTCCTTGCCCTTGGCCTCTGCTTTGGGTTTCTCCTCTTTGGTATCTTTCTTTTCTGGTGCTGCTGGTGTCTCTTCTTTCTTTGACTTGTCTGGCTCTTTCTCTGCAGGTTTGCTGGGCTCTTTGGCTTTAGCCTCCTCTGTCTTCTCTTTGGGTTTCGCCTCTTCCTTCACCTCCACCTTGGCAGGAGCCTCCTTCTCGGGGGTTGCTGCTTTTTTCTTATCTCCACCCTCTTCCTTCTTGGCTTCCACTTTGGGTTCTTGGGGCTTTTCCACAGCAGCTTCCTTCTTTTCCTCAGCCACGGGCTTTGAGGCCTCCTTTTTGGGACTCTCATCCTTCTTGCTGTCCTTTCCCTCGGTTTTTTGTGCGGCTGGAGTCTTGTCTTCCTCTGCCTTCTTTGGGGGCTCTTTGACTTTCACCTCCTCCTTTACAGGGGACTTTACCTCTTCCTTTTTGGGGATCTCCTTCACAGGAGCCTTGGCCTCCTCCTTCGCAGGGGACTTGGCCTCTTCCTTCACAGGGGACTTGGCTTTCTCTGGAGACTTGGCCTCCTCCTTTGCAGGGGACTTGGCCTCCTCCTTCACAGGGGACTTGGCCTCCTCCTTCACAGGGGACTTGGCCTCCTCCTTTGCAGGGGACTTGGCCTCCTCCTTTGCAGGGGACTTGGCCTCCTCCTTTGCAGGGGACTTGGCCTCCTCCTTCGCAGGGGACTTGGCCTCCTCCTTCGCAGGGGACTTGGCCTCCTCCTTCGCAGG